AAATACAAGGCCGAACGAAGATGGCCGTCTCACTATCACCTGGTACCTTCCCTGAAGTTTCAGTTAGCTACAGTGAAATCCTTACAGATAAACTTTTGATAAGAAAAAATTCTATGAACAAATGTTTTCCTAGTCTCAGCAGAAAGCAGTCCAATTCAACGTAATTCTAGCTTCGGCATTTACTTCAATCGCATGGCTGGAGGTGGCCAGCAACGCAAGAAGCAGATTGCAACGTTTCGAAGTCAGACGATTCCCACCAGCGTGGCATCCTGGATATCGGTTTCAGCAGTCGACACGGGTTGTCTTTCCCGTAACTTTTCCAAAGGAGCTAGCTTTGCAAATCTTTTTTGTGGTATTTCTCACCGTACGTTATTCAGAGACAGTTTCCACTTAAAGTATTTACAGAAGTATATTTTATTTACTAACTAGCACCGCAGATGGGCACCCTACCGGTTGGCAAATTTAAAACTAGACATAGATACAGGTACAGACAAAAATTACCGATTCAGTCCATACCACTACTCATTGAAATGAATTTGCTGCCGATCCAGATCGGTGACGTATAGATTTAAATTTTGCCGCTTTACCGCCTAAGCCTCAGTGCATAGCGAAGTCACGGCTTCAACTTAAGCATACATAAGGTGAGGTGGAGGTTCAGGTATCGGAGGAGGCTTATTGACAATCTGGTGAAACAGAGCTACTACCGATATGTACTAAATCATACCGGAAATAACGGATTATAACTCTGAACGGCAATATACAACGGTAATATGCAATCTAGCCTAAGTACGAATGTAAATAATAAACGAGAGAATCACCTTGTTTTGTCGGCTTTGGAGAATAGCAGAAGATAACAAACAATGTCCGTAAAGAATCAGGTGCTATTAGCATCGGTAATCCTTTATTCAGCTAGCTAAACCTACCTTAAAGCTATAAGAAGATCAGACATCCATTCGTAATGATTTTATTGTTAGCCGACGTTTCGAGATCAGTGGTAGAATTTCAGCGCTGTTCTGAAGCGTTATGAAGCTCGTCTTGGCAGATTACAACAGAACAGAACAATGAGCGAATTATCCTCAGATTGCGATGGTATACCGGGTTACAGATGAGCAGCTAATGACCACCATGAAAACTCAGAGCTCAGCGCTTGGCTTGGTTTTATCAAAAAAGAACGCCATATTTTCAAAACCCTTCTCGCTTGGCAACCTTGCACTGGCCAAAAATACACAGGAGGACTATACAAAACGTCGAAACACCTTATTGAAGCAGACCTGCAGGCGACGAGGAATATGACATTTGCTGCAGCAGTTAAGGTTACCTATCTCAATCAGAGATATCATTTGTAAGTGTCAAACAATAAATCTGGGTTACTCTGCTGCTTAACCTCTGTTAGCCTCAGACGGAGATTACAAAACAACAAGAACAACTGCAGAATAGCGACTGAGATAAACACGAGGTCGTTCTGTTATCCATCAGGTTCTTTGAAACAATATTTTAAAAAAAACAACCTTTCATACTAAACTTTACTGGAAAATCTCAATAGTTTAGTTTCAGACATGACCATTATTGCACATTCGCTGGGTTGGGAGAATGCTACCGTCATGAAAGAAAGCAAACAGTCCTTCTTCTCCGAGAACAGATCAAAAAAGCAAAATCAATCATCTGAATACCAAAGGAAACGGAACAAAATTTATGAAAGGTAGAAACGACTTAGGAAACACAACAACAACGTACTTTTTCATTTTCCTAGAGTATCTCCTTAACAAGAGTGCGCTGTTTCAATCAACTGCCTCGAAATTTCTTGGTCTTTGGTCAAATCATCGGTCACTCCTCGCAGTTTCACGTCGTTCCTTACGACATAGCACCTCTTCTTCTTCCCTCTCTGACAATATCAGTGCTTGAACTACATTGCCAACGTACTCGTAGAATCTTCGTTCCACTTGACCGAATCTTCGATCAGTTTTTCAGTAACTGGTTGCTCACCTCAAGAGCCTCTTATAAAGGAGTTCCGGATAAAGTCCTATTGCTGACACTACGTATCCATCTGAGCAATCGTATTTCTATGGAGTTCAGCTACTTCCCGCGTCATTTCAGACTAGCCGAACATTCCGCTCCCTATAGAAGTACAGGCATTACCAACGTTCTGCACACCTTTCCCCACTGATCATCTTATGGCAAAGTATGCTGTCCACCTCCCTCCATCCGAGTCACGCTTTTCTCGACTAATTTATTAATTCGCTGTCGATTTTTCATTGTCTTGAATGATAAAAACAATACATTTAAGTTCTTGGCTTTGAGGTAGAATCGTGTGGATAAATTCACAGATTCATCGGCTTTCCTTTTGGTCTCCTCGCTGAAATATTCCGCAAGGTATTGTGACTTGCTTCTTACGAGCTTAAGGCCATTTATCTCATGAAATTTTCTCAATGACTTGGATTTTCCTTCTGCTCATTTCCTGCTTTCACCGCTCAGCAGTACGTCATCTGCATAAGACATGCTCGTATTGGGCTGCTTCGTGTAAAGGCATCTGGGTCAGATGCCATCAAGAACAGAAATGAACTGAGTGCTAAGCCTTGGTGAACCAAAACCAGAAAAGAGAATTCTTTCGTTTCGCCGCATGTACTTCGAAGTATTGCTGTCACTCTGTTGTATTTTTCTTTGGTATTTCTGAAATTTTTAAGACACCAGGTTCTGTCATGCTAGACGAAATAGTCCGCCACCGTATTCCATAAAAATCCTTCTCTAAGTCTTAAATTACGCGCAGCTTCAAGTAAAATATTTTTAAAATATTTCAAACAGGGCAGATAGCATATGAGATCCCAATACTACCAGAGAGGGATGGGCCGCTCAAATAGCCTCAGATATGTGGAAGCAAAGATCGGTGTGACTCTGTCGTGCAACCCGGAGAAATAAAGAAACTCATCATAGCAGGGTCAACCAACTTCTGTTGACGAAATCGAATAATAGTCTACTCCAACCCCTAACGGCCTTCATGGCTCATCCTTTACTTCCACTGCTGATTAATTCCTCTTCAAGAATGATAAGCATGGATTTATGAAAAACATTATCTGCGTGAGATGTCGATAACCGAAGTTGTGGTGAGTGTCTCGCAACTCTTCCTCGAATTTGTTCCGATTACAAATAAAATCGCTACACTTATACCGAGACAAAGGGCACACAACCGAAGAGAGCCATACCATAATCCTACGCATTTACGTTGAAGGCCGTTTGCTGGCGAATGTTCGTTCGTCATCGCTCGTTCTAATTTCATAATTAATAATCATCGATTTTCCGTCGCCTGCTTAAGACTAACCATAAGGTCCAACATACGGAAGCGCCGATTACAGTAAGCTATCAAGCCTCTGTTAGCTTGTACTTAACACATGGAGATGACTGATCGAGAAAAATTGATCGTCTGCTGTTGACTCATCTGCTGACTTCAGGAATAGCGGAATAACGATTTCTTTTCTATTTTTACTTCACGTTCTGGCGTAAACAATGCCAACTGTTGACGGGAACCAGCGAACGAACGGCGAAGCACAAAAACAGCAAAAAATCTTGACAGGGGCAATAGGAAAAACGACAGAACTGCCGTGGACCTATGGGTCTCCTTTCGCAGAAGCGTCGTTTCTCCGCTTAACCGTTTCGCCGAACAGGGTTTCGCGCAACCAAATAGTTAAATGTTGCAAATATTCTAACAGTAGCAACTCTAAGTGCTGAGACCCAAGACTGCGAACCACTGGAGCAAACATATTTCCAGGTGGAGAGTGAAATTAATTCTGAAGTTCGTAATGCCTACCTCGGCTTTACTGGAATACCGTTAAACATACCCTTATACATTGCCTTTGCACTGTTTTGCACAGGTTTTAAATTTATACTACAGTTTAAGTTCGGGCTGATCATTAAGCGGTAATGTCGTAATTAGGCAGATTAGACCTAGGCTCATAAAAGCGCTTAAGAAGCTTCGCGTTAACAGCTAAGCAAACTAGGCGCATCGCGTGAGGTCTAAAGTGTCCATAGGGATCATAGGAATACAGAAGACGTTTCAGGCATAGCATCGTTAAAAATTGAAGAAGAAAAAGATGGAACCCCCCGACGAGATTCTGGACATCGAACAATCCAGTCCGGCCGATGACTCATGAACTGAATGTCTGAACGACAGAACGTGTAAATATGAGCATACCCGTGTGTCAATTCTTGTACAGACTGTTTATTTCAATGATATATAAATCTGTTCTAAAGGACAGATTACTGACATGGGCCAAACAAGGTATTAGTTGCAGATCATACAGGTACGGGCGGACAGATTACTATTCTGGACGGCAACGTATATACAAGACTTCTGCATAGATGAGACTAAGTTCAAATCTAATTTATCTCAACTCAACCAAGTGACAAAACTCACTAATTACTTCGATTTTACAAGTAAAGGTCAGATCAGATCATTAAAAGTGCATGCCTTCAACAGCTTCTCACTAACGGTTTTGGTCATCAAGCTTAGTATTAACCATATGCAGCCTCGCACTCGTCACTTTTAACAGACAAAATTTTGGGACTGTTACGATATAAAGGTGTACTTTTAACACTGCTACTTTAACACGCTTTAACTGTTGCCTTGAACCATGGATTAGGAAACGAAGACTATTAATCGTTATTCAAATAGGCAGCCAATCGATACCTCCTTCCATACCTTTTAACACTAGTTGTCTAGATTTCTGAGCAACTGCGAATCGCTGTTTATCGTAACCAGTACTCGAATTGACAAGACTCCGTCATAAACGATTTTCAGCTTAAACACTCTACACGAAGATTAACAGCTTATTTGGTACACAATTGGAGGATAAAATGTCAATCTAAAGTCACTAATTGCCTCAGTTAATAAATGTTGATTGAAGT